GTTGGGGTGCTTTAGGAGCCTCCATAACTGTTTTGAGATAAGTGCCTGATTGAAAGAGGTTAGGCATTTGAAACCTAGACCACCTTTATCCTTGGGCTTTGAGAGTTTTTGCCAAGAGGCCCAATGGATTTTCTTTCTTCCATCTTCACATGATCCCCACCAAAAATCAGCTTGGAGCCTGCAGATTTCTTTGCAGACACCTAGAGGTAATTTGAAACAAGACATGGTAAAAGTGGGGAGAGCACTTATGACACTTTTCAAGAGAACATCTTTTCCTGCTTCACTTAGAAAAGAATTTTTCCAGGACTTGAGTCTGCAGTTCACATTGTCAATGATATATTTGAAGGTGTCTTTTTTGGAGGAGCCCAGACCTAAAGGTAGGCCTAGGTATCTTGAAGATTTGACAGTGGAGATGCCATCAAGGATTAAGCTGATGTCAGCCATAACAGAAGGGGGGGTATTTTTGGAGAAGTAAGCTGAGGATTTTGAAAGGTTGACTTTTTGCCCAGAGTCTAGGCCATAAAGATTTAGGATGTTAGAAATGAGGGTAGCATGGTGGTGATCAGCTTTACAGAAGATGATGGAATCATCTGCAAAGAAAAGGTGGGTGATGGAGGGTGAGTTTTTGCTGATTTTCATGCCTTGGAAGGATTGATGCAAGGTTGCTTGCTTGATAAGATTGGAGAAGCCTTCAGTAATGATAATGAATAGGTAAGGAGAGAGGGGGTCTCCTTGTCTCAATCCCCTAGAAGGCTTGAGACAGCCAAGAGGTTGACCTTGAATGTTGAAAGAGAAGGAGGTGGTAGTGACACAAGTCATAATCCAAGACACAAACTGAGAACAAAATCCCATTTTAGTACAGATAGCAGCAAGAAATGGCCATTCAACACTATCGAATGCCTTCATCATGTCAAGTTTGAGGGCCATGAAATAAGAATTACCAGTTCTTCTGCTATTAAGATGATGAATGCATTCATTGGCAATGACGAAGTTGTCAAGGAGTTGTCTGCCAGGAACAAAAGCGGCTTGGTTTGGGCTAATGCAGGAGTGAAGGGTAATTTTGAGTCTATTTGCAAGAATTTTAGAAATAAGTTTGTAAGTGACTGTACAGAGGCTTATGGGTCTGAAGTCATTTAAGAACTTAGAACTTTTTTTCTTGGGAATGAGGGTGATGGCAGTTTTGTTTATGGTGGAGGGGAGCTTGCCAGTTGAGAAAAATGATTGGACTGCTGTAAAAAGGGAGGGGTGAATAATATTCCAAGAAGTTTGAAAAAATGAGGGGGACATACCATCAATTCCAGGAGCTTTTAGAGGATGCATTTCCCACAAGGCTTGTTTTAGCTCC